TATTTTTATTGGAAAATTGTAATCTTCCTAATGCTTCATATTTTTTTTCTCTCTGTAACCATCGCTGCACTGAATTCTACTCAGGAAGGGTCAGAACCTGTTAATATTGTATCGACTAGAGTTTTGCAAAGAACTTAAATGCAAAAATAAAAATAAAGTTTTACTTCCGCAGACTTAAAAGTTTTAAAAATTCAGTATTATGTCTGACTAAAAATTGTTATCGCTACTAAATTACAAAAAGTACCAAAAATTGGATACTAAAGTTTTACTGATTTAGAAACAAAATACTACTAAAAATACTACTACTATTAACAAAATGTACAATAATTTAGTATCATGTCTGACTAAACCTTTTCTTCACTACTGATTTTGAAAAAGTTCTGTAAATTTAGTATTTTTTTCGACTGACACTATTTTTACTACATACGTAGCTAAAGTACAAAAAAATTAGTTATTATGCCTGTTTTTAACTTGTTTTCACTACTAATTTCGAAAAAATATAAAAAATTTGATCTTACGTCTGACTAAAACTTCTTTTCACTACTAATTTATAGTTATAACATAGAACAATTAAACGTATAATTCACCTTGAAACCAGTAAGTAGTTAAATAAAGTGTTAGTCAGACATAATACTAAATGTTTCCTACTTTTACGCAATCAGTAGTGAAAGATCGTTTAAGTCAGACATTCAATTGTTCATGCTTCTTCTAAATCAGTAGTGAGAAGAACTACTTTGGAGAAGAATTTTGTTATTTATAAAGAAAATTGGGATTCTTAAGAGAATTTTTTCAAATTTTAAACCTAGTTGAATTTTATAAGAACAATTTTGCTTTTTTTTTTAATAATTGAATTTCTGCAATTATTTATAATTTCTTCAAAATTGAATTTTTTTAGTGTTTTCAACAAAAATTTAAAATAGAAAATTTTTAAATTCTATTATTTTTAAAATATAAATATAAAAAAATTGATGTTACGTCTGACCTGGACTTGATTTTACTACTGGTTTAGAAAAAGTACCATATATTTAGTATCATGTCTGACGAAAGTAATTTTTCACTATTGATTTGGAAAAATTAGCATAAAATTATTTTAATACCTTATAAAATTTTATGGAAAAAGTAGACAAAAGAGGATTGGGAATTAGTGAGAACATTAATAAAATTAATAATTATTACAATTAAATTTTTGAAATTCATGCAAAATATCGCACTTATTGTAGAAGCAAAATATTGTATTATATTTAATTATTAATATTATGTTAATTAACTTGAAATATAAATTTCTAATTAACTTGTGTATTGTGTATTGATATATAATTTACAATTTAATATCAAATGGACTAATTGTTGGAATATATATAGTTATGAAATGAAATACGAAATTAGATGGTTAAAAGAAAATTGAGCTTTTATATTATTTAAATCAACCGAGAGCTATTTATGTGCAAAGTTTTTTCAAAAAACAATACCTTCTCATTTTTGATGACAATGTAAAAACCCAGAGAATTTATATATTTAACTTAATAATTTTATAAATCTGAACTATTTAACTGCTATTGATTTTGATTCTAACAGAAAATAATTTAACACGACAAATTATTATATTATAAATTGAGGATACTATCGACATTTTTAATTTCCTTCACGAAAGATTTAAATGAATAAATATAAAAATGCTACATGATTTAAAGTTTGTTTTTTTACTCTGTATATGAAAATCACATAAATTATGGAAAATATCGACTCTGTATCGAGTTCACATATATAGACAAATCACAACAAATGATTATTTACCATTGATGGAATTTCTGTGACGCTTTTGAATCCAGTTATAGATTGAGAGAAATGGTCGAGTTACTTTTTGATCGATGTCACATTTCATTTTTATACTTCGCTTCGCTTTCTGGCTGAATAGCGAACAATAAATTATTGTGAATGTCGAAATCGAGCACAAGCAATATCCATGATGAAACGTGGTGCTACTTTTCTGACTTGGAAAAATATTTATAAGAGAGATGATCGCCATGTCACTTGATGGCTTTTCCTGCAAAAAGCGATTTATAAACAAGTCTTGCAGTTTTATAAAAAGAATAACAGACTTTTTGAGAAAAATCTTTTCTATAACAGATTTTTCAAAATGCATTACTTCAAAATCTGTGTTATTGATAAATTTTTGGATAAAGAAATAAAATATATTTATGAAAATTGAAATTTTCATCAACAATATTTCATTGCTGTTAAATATAAAGTTCAACTACTGCCGAACTATGCAGGAAATTTGAGAAACTTTCCAACTAGTAGGTATAGTGAATGTTCATTACATTCAGTGGTCCAAGTGGATATTTTAATTAGAAATATTTTAATAATTATTTATTTACTACTATTACTGAAAATTAAATGTTACGTCTGGCTTAAGCTTACTTTCACTACTAAATCAAGAAAAGTATAAAAAGTGACTAAAACTTTTTTTTCTACTCAATGTAGAAAAATAAAAAAAAGATATTACGTTTGACTTAAACTTTTGTTTTACTATTCAATATAGAAAAATAAAACCATCATATCACGTCTGACTTAAACCTTTGTTTTACTACTTAATTTAAAAAAATAGGAAATTATGTCTGACTAAAACTTGTTTTTACTACTTAATTTAGAAGAATACGAAAAATAAGATATTAAGTCTGACTAACACTAGTTTTTACTACTTACTTCAATAAAAATATCATGTCTGACTAAAACTTTTTTTTACTACTTAATTTTAAAAAATAGAAAATTGTGCCTGACTAAAACTTGTTTTTACTACTTAATTTGAAAAAACAGGAAATTATGTCTGACTAAAACTTGTTTTTACTACTTAATTTAAAAGAATACGAAAAATAAGATATTAAGTCTGAATGACCTTAGTTTTTACTACTTACATTAATAAAAATATCATGCCTGACAAAAACTTGTTTTTACTACTTAATTTTAAAAAAAAGGAAATTATGCCTGACTAAAACTTGTTTTTACTACTTAATTTAGAAGAATATGAAAAATATAATATTAAATATGACTAAAACCACTTTTTACTACTTAATTTGAAAAAATAGGAAATTATGTATGACTAAAACTCGTTTTTACTACTCAATATAGAAAAATAGGAAATTATGTCTGACTAAAACTTGTTTTTTCTACTCAATATACAGAAATAAAAAAATTATATTACGTATGACTTAAACCTTTGTTTTACTACCTAATTTAGAAAAATAGGAAATTATGTCTGACAAAAACTTGTTTTTACTACTTAATTTAAAATAATACGAAAAATAATATATTAAGTCTAACTAACACTAGTTTTTACTACTTAATTTTAAAAAGTAGAAAATTATGTCTGACTAAAACTTATTTTTACTACTTAATTTAAAAAATTGAAAATTATGTCTGACTAAAACTTGTTTTTACTACTTAATTTAGAAGAATAGGAAATTATGTCTAACTAAAACTTGTTTTTACTACTTATTTAGGAAAAATACGAAAAATAAGATATTAAGTCTGACTAAACTTGTTTTTACTACTTAATGTAGAAAAATACAAAACTATAAGCGAGTTTCACCAAATCCGATTAAAAGTTAATCAATGATTAAATCCTTAACCGACCAATCATGGGCGGTTAAAATGACTTTAATCGTTGGTTAACTTTTAATCGGAGCACAGTAAATCGTGAGGTATTAAAAAGTGTTGCAGATTAAATTAACACCAAAAAAGATTAAAATAATCAATTTTGGTGATATTTTTTACAATGAATGAAATTTTAGTTTATTAAATTTTTTTATAACTATAAAACATGAAGATGACCAAGTAATAAAATAATTATTTTATATTATAAGAATATTATACTTCTTGAAAATTATTTTCATTATTTCAATTCAATTGATATTTTCAAAAAATTTTAACTACAATTTTACTTTATATCTATTATTTTTAATAATTTTCTAAAAAGTTCTTTGGCAATTTTCCAATTTATTTGTTTACAATATTCAATTTTACGAAATTTCAATTATTCCTAAACTCTTTAAATAAATGCATATTAGAAAATAAAAACTTCAAATAATATAAAAGAAAATTCAATTAAACTTTTAAAAAAAATTAATTTCAAAATTCAATTATTTCTAAAAATTCACGCTAGATATTGCTTTTAATATTCAATTATAATCTAAAATTTTAACTGAAATTCATTTTTATAAAATGAAAATCAATTTTTATTAGAAAATTCTACAAGAATTTAATTATTTAAATGCAAAAGTAAATAATTTATTGAATAATTGAATGTTTCTTTAAATAATTCTCATAAAGAATTGTAGTTACAAATTTTTTAAATAATTGAATTCTTTTTGTCGAATTTTATTAAAATTTGCATAAACATAATTACTTTTTTCAAGGAATTCAATTATAATTGTATGAAAAATAATAATTGAAACGCTGCGATGAGTTTTATGAGAATTTTCAAATTCATTCGTTTACAATTCAAATTTACAAAATTTCAATTATTCAGAAATTCTGCAATTAAATATATATTGAAAAATAAAAACTTGAAATAATTTTAAAAAAAATTCTATTAAACTTTTAAAAAGAATTAATTCTACAGAATTTTTTGTCAAAAATATGAAAAATTAAGAATTTCAATTATTTTAGTTTATAACTTTTTCAAAATTTAATTATTTCTAAAAATTTAATTTCTTGAAATTAAATTCTCCTAAAAAATGTTATCAACAAATTTTTTAAATCATTAAATTTTTTGGAATCCCCGATTTATTAAGAATTAGCCACTTTACCTGACTGGCAGTTTTAGACACATTTCCCACATAGTATGTATATGAAATTTTAAAGGAGAGATTATTACAAAATGTTTATGAATTTACGAAACAATCTCTCGCTATGCATATTATAACGTTTAGTATTTACTTTGATCTATTTCCATGGAAATGGGCATAAAAAATTAATCTTTGACCTTTGCCCGTTTTCAGAGGCTTACGTGAATCTTGGAGCAGCTTTAGCTTCGGTTGGTCGTGGAACGGAAGCAGCTGCGGTTTTGCGCGCTGGCGCTTCTTTGGACGGATCCGGTCTGAAAGACAGAAGGGCTCACGAAGCTGCCAGGGTACAAGCATTGTTGCAACTTGGAGCCCTCTATGCGGATCAGGGGAGATTACAGAGAGCCTTATCTGCATACAGAGAAGCACTACATGCACTTCCGGATCATTATCCTCCTCAGGTGAGAAAAATAGACCGTATTTTACACTACTAGTCAAACAAACTTTACTCTTCTTTTTCTAGTGCATTTTCTATTATATGTTTATTTTCAACGATTTTCACTGTTGGAAATTAAGTATGACTTGAACTTGTTTTTACAACTTATTTTAGAAAAATATAAAAAATAAGACATGACGTCTGACCAAAACTTGTTTTTACTATTTAATTTGAAAAAAATACGAAAAATAGGAAATTACGTCTGTCTAAAACTTATTTTTACTACTTATTTTAGAAAAATACGAAACATAGGATAAGACGTCTGACCAAAACTTTATTTTACTACTTAATTTAGAAAATAGAGTATTATGTCTGACTAAAACTTGTTTTTACTACTTATTTTGGAAAAATACGAAAAATTTGTTATTACGTATGTCTGTCGTTATTCGTTTTTTTGCTACTTTATACTAATATAATTTTTAATAATTAATATAATTATTTAAATTCTGTCGTTTTAAAGACTGCATAATCATAACATAAAAAATAATGACATCTTAATATTTTATTAAAGTAATTTTTGAAAAATTTTTAATGCCGAATATATGTATATTTGATGACCTTGTAGAAATATTATTAGAAAAGACATTGTTTTCCATTAAAATTACGCATAAGATACACTTTTCAGGAAAATTTATGGTCTAAGTTATATTCCTGGAGCATTTCGAATTTTATTCCTCGAATAATAGTTGGGTTATTCGTTTTGAGACGATAATAAAGTTTGATTTTAATATCAGACACTCGTGGCATTTTTGGAGCAAAGCCATATCCCACAAGAGATAGCAGAAGAGGTGCTGGGATTCTAAATTAATTTTATTCACACAAAACGATATTACTATAAATTAACGGTGAATGGCAGAATTATTTCTAAATAAACGATTTTCTAACAATTTATCATTTTTTTCAGTATAGAAATTATTTTGTTTGCATTATTTTATGACTTAAAGAAAGAATAATGTCGTGAACAATTAATTAAATAAAAGTTAAAGAAAAGTTTGTTTAAAAAAAGCACGAAATCAATGTCAAAATATTTTTTTGCGAATTATTTTCTTTCTCAAAATAATGAGACATTGAGAGCAATTAATCTTTGAAATGAAAGAATCTTTTTTCGCGAAAATATTAACTTAATCGCATGAACGGAAGGAAAATTGTCCTCGAGAAACGAGAAACAGAAATTGAAAATAAAATAATAAAAGAAAGAAAATTTTTATTTTCTCGTTGGATTGCATCTCTTAATGTGAAATGCTATGAAATTATCGTGGCTGGTGCATTCGGTAATTTATTCAATTTGTCTGGTTCATTAAGAAACGCTGATGTTAAATCAACGTTGATGTCAGGCTTTCTTCATCAGTTTCATTTTAGTCCTTGGTAAAACTCAAACTTCATCTTCATAATTATTATTAAGAAAAAAGCCTAGTCGTGAAATATTCTAATTTCGAGGAAATTTTTTCACCAATTTTACATCCATGAGCAATTTTATTATTTTATTTAATAAACATTTGTGACGTGTTCCGAAAAATAGTCTAGTTTTTACTACTTATTTAAAAAAATCGAAAAAATATTACGTCTGACAAAAACTTATTTTCTGACTTAGAAAAAAAACCATAAATTTATATTATTGTAATTGAATTTTACAATTAAATTTATATGACAAATTAATTCAATTATTTCTAAATAATTGAATTCTTTAGACGATTTTTAATAATATTTTTAAGAAGAATTACATTTTCCGAAAAATTCGATAAAAATTGAATTAAAAATAATTGAAATTCTTCATTAGGTTTCATTATTTATGAAAATAATTGAATTGCTAAGAAAAATTTTATTTTTTTCTTACATAATTAAATATCTGCGAAGAATTTTATTACTTTTGAAAACAATTGAATTTCTGCAATAATTTGTAACTTCTCAAAAATTAATTTTTTTTTAGTATTAACTAAAATTTTTCTATAAATCCATTATTTTTAATAATTATTAAAATAGTTTTTTGAGAATTTTTAAATTCATTTATTTTTAACTGAAATTCATTTTTCCATCAATTTTTATTATAAAATTCTACTTGAATTCAATTATTTAAACACACAAAATAATTTAATATATTAGAAATTTCAACTAGAATTCAATTATTTAAACACTCAAAATAATTTATTATATATTTGAATGTTTCTTAAAATTAAATTTTTGAAAAGAATTTTAGCAACAAATTTTTAAATAATTCAATTCGTTTGACAAATTTTAATAAAGTTTTTGATAATAATTACATTTATCGAGGAATTTGATTAAAATTTTATTAAAAATATTAAATAATTGAATTTCTGCGATGAGTTTTACTATTTATGAAAATAATTAAATTGGGGAAAATTTTGGAGAAAAATTTTATTACTTATAAGAATAATTGAAATTTTGACGAGAATTTTAAAAAACTTTTTGAACATAATTTAATTTTTGCGAAGCACTTTATTACCTTCGAAAATAATTAAAATTTGGCAAAGAATTTTACCACTTTTGAAAATAATTGAAATTTTGTAAAGAATTTTATCAAAATTTCTGAAAATAATTGAATTTCTGCAAAGAATTTTACCACTTTTGAAAATAATTGAAATTTTGTAAAGAATTTTATCAAAATTTCTGAAAATAATTGAATTTCTGCAAAGAATTTTACCACTTTTGAAAATAATTGAAATTTTGTAAAGAGTTTTATCAAAATTTCTGAAAATAATTGAATTTCTGCAAAGAATTTTACCACCTTTAAAAATAATTGAGTTTAACAAAAGAATGTTATATTTTTGAAAATAATTGAATTTTTTCGAAGAATTTTATTAAAATTTCTGAAAATAATTGAGTTTCTGCGAAGAATTTTATTACCTTCGAAAATAATTGATATTTTACAAAGAATTTTATTAAAATTTCTGAAAATAATTGAAATTATGCCAAGGATTCTACTACTTTCGAAAATAATTGAATTTAACAAAGAATTGTACTATTTTTGAAAATAATTGAATTCATTTGAAGAATTTTATTAAAATTTCTGAAAATAATGGAATTTTTGCGAAGAATTTTATTACTTTAAAAAATAATTATTAATAATTGTATTTATAATTGAAATTCTTCATTTGAGTTTTATTATTTATGAAAATAATTGAATTCCTAAAAAGAATTTTATTATTTAGAAAAATAATTGAATCCCTGTAAAAATGTTATTATTTATAAAAATAATTGAACCTATATTGCGAAGAAATTTATAAAACAATTTGTAAATAATTGAATTTCTGTGAAATTTTTATTATTTTCTGAAAATAATAGATATTGAAAATCGCATGAAATTGAGGAAAATTTTTGAAAATAATTAAAAATCACTAAAATTTAGTAGAATTTATGTAGAATATTAACTAAAATTCATATAGAATGATTCTATAGAATGATTCTAGTGAAATTCTATAGAACTTTTTCAGCTTGGTACTGATTAAAAAAAATTACTACACATTTAATTGTACGTCTGATCAAAACTTGTCTTCACTACTGATTTAGAAGAAGAGCTATAAATTTAATATGTTGTCTGACTTTAACATTCTCTCACTACTAGTTATAAAAAGTTCTATAATTTTAGTATTATGTCTGACTCAACCTAGTTTGTACTACTAATTTAGAAACAGTACTAAAAATTAAATGTTACGTCTGATTTAAACTTACTTTCACTACTAATTCATGAAAAGAATAAAAAAAAGAAAGCTATGTCTGACTAAAACTTGGTATTACTACTGAATTACAAATGGTATCAATAATTTGTTATAGCGTAGAACGAAAACTTGATTCCACTACTGATTCACAAAATTAACAATAATTTAGTACCAAGTCTGAATAACATTAGATTTTACTACTTATTTAAAAAAAAATTCTAAAGTTACACCAAGAATCAGAATTTGTAGCATTTTTATAATAATTTTGATATTTTTCATTCCATTGAATAAAATACTACTTTGAATCTGAAATAAAGTACATTTTTTCCCATATTTTTAAGTATTGGTGTATTATTCTTATGGTGTACTATTTGTAAAGAAAATTGGAAAATTGTCTTGAAGAGCAATGGGCGAAAAGTATTTTTCCTTTTTTTTTCATTTTTCCCAAAGTAAGTTTGCGAAAAGCGTCCAACTACAACGCGTACATAACTGTTGTATAAGGTTTCGAGAGAACGCGTTCCTATAGGAGGGAAAAGTTTGCATTTTTACGAGGTTTTCTCTCTTCTAGTCCTTCGTCGGCCGACTCGCTCGAATTCCTGCGTGACAATTTATACGAAAAGTGTTTTCCCCTCTTTCTTTTTTTATTCCCTTGATCAATTCCATTCTGACTATATCTACCTCGGCTTTCTTTTTTCCTTTTTCTTCAACGCAAAACCAAGTTCCTTAAATACTTAACATTTTTCTTTCTTTTACTATCAATATATATAAATTTTTTTATTTTCTATCCACTAAATAGTATTTTTCCCGTAAATATTAATCTTTTAAAGTTTATATTAATGACCTCGCAAATTTTATTATCCCAATTTTTATTCTTTTCATTCAATCTTTATATTTTTCTCAAACAGTATTATATGTAAGTCTCGGAACATAAAAACTAATACAAATTTTACGAACCCACTAGAAATTCCATTAAATTTAAATTTTCTGAACGATTTCAAGTGTGATGGATTTCTCTGTAGTAAAAGTGCATCGTATACGAAAATACAACCGAGCTGTGGAGACATCAAAGGCTATAAGAAGTAAAATCTAAATTTTACTGAGGAAGCAGAAAACGTTATATCGTTTCCTGAATTCTTCTTTGAGTGCTCTTGAAGATTGAAATATTGTGGAGAGGGAAAGAGAAATTGTAGAGAGGGTACACAAAAATTTAATTCCTATTTTATAGGATATCTATCTTAATCCCTCCGACTTTCTCCCCTCCACCCCCCAGTCCTTTGCCGCATTCCAATTC